AAATGTAATTAATATGCAATCACAGTACTCGAAATCGGTTACCATACGGAAAAGGTTTTACCCGGATTGATTTTAACATTAGGGGGTCAATAAGGTCGATGTCATTTGCAATTTCAAAGCTCTAAATTATATTTCATTGAGGCAATAGTGTTTAATCTTTTATATATATATATATTTTTATAGTGAAGAATGAGTTATGTTTTATGCATTGAGGTTGTAGACAATGTGAACAGGTTATTGAAAATTCATTTGAGACATTTTCAGATTTTGCCAAGCAAAAAATAAACAGTTCAAGTTCTGATTCTGTTAACGTGTTCTGTTTGAAGATGTTCTATGTCCTAAAGTGGGGAAAATTAAGTTGAGTTGCTTTCATAACTATTGACATTTTAGAATATATATAATAAGGTTGTGATCAATGAAAAAATATATATAAATTTGCAAGGTATTTGGATTTTCCTATTATTTAATTCAAAATTATATAAAGGAATATGGCTCTTACAGTAATTAGCTGTTTATGATGTTGATTTCAGACATTTCTTTACGTTCTTTTGAAATAATTAATATTATATGAGATAAAAAATATTTTCAGAATCATATCAAACATCCTTGTACAAAGTGAAATCTCAAGGGTCAGCAAGGTGTTCAGAATACTTCAATTAGAATCCTTGTTTTGAAGAACCTTTACACTTTGACAACATTTCACTGCGGAAATGGAAAATGTGCATCAGTCTTGATCTGCCTTTGTATAAAGATGCTTTAACACTGTCAGAAAAGAAAAAAGAAAACATCTAAATCACAGCACTCGAGTATTGATTTGTTCAGGAGACAAATTAATGTAAGGAATTTACTTGTGGTTTGAATCAATTTGTTTGCCTCGACTGTCGAAATGCAGAACAACACATTGTTTACATTAGTACTGACATTGCCTGTTTTATCATTGCAGGGTTTAAGAAGTGAAAATAGATAAAAAAGAACAAAGGATGGCAGAGGAGGACCAACCCGATGGACTTGCTCTCACCCGGTACCATCCAGAAGGCCAATATGGGATACCTCTCATGGAGCTGCGGGAGTTGATGGAGCACAGGGGTAGCGAAGGCTACAACCTTATACAGTCAAAGTACAATGGAGTCACAGAATTGTGTCATCTTCTATACACATCTCCCATAGAAGGTAAGCTTTGGTATTATGGTTGTCTATCATAAGTTTACCCTTTTATTAGAAAAAGCCTTGCGATTTACTACAAAACCAGAGACAGTACCAGTTAGATTGTAGGTAGAGAGGATACATAGACTATTGTCTAATGGAGTATCCACTCAGATGTCGGGTAGAGGGGATATTTCTGTGGGGTAGTTTCCACTCAGATGTCAGGTAGAGGGGATATTTCTGTGGTGTAGTATCCACTCATATGTCTGGTAGAGGGGACTTTCTGTAGGGTAGTATCCACTCAGATGTCGGGAAGAGGGGATATTTCTGTGGGGTAGTATCCGCTCAGATGTCGGGTAGAGGGGATATTTCTGTGAGGTAGTATCCACTCAGATGTCGGGTAGAGGGCATATTTCTGTGGGGTAGTATCCACTCAGATTTCTGGTACAGGGGGTATTTCTGTGGGGTAGTATCCACTCAGATTTCTGGTACAGGGGGTATTTCTGTGGGGTAGTATCCACTCAGATGTCTGGTAGAGGGTATATTTTTGTGAGGTAGTATCCACTCAGATGTCTGGTAGAGGGGATATTTTTGTGCGGTAGTATCCACTCAGATGTTGGGTAGAGGGGATATTTCTGTGGGGTAGTTAGTATCCACTCAGATGTCTGGTAGAGGGTATATTTCTGTAGGGTAGTATCCACTCAGATGTCGGGTAGAGGGGATATTTCTGTGGGGTAGTATCCACTCAGATGTCTGGTAGAGGGGATATTTCTGTGGGGTAGTATCCACTCAGATGTCTGGTAGAGGGGATATTTCTGTGGGGTAGTATCCACTCAGATGTCGGGTAGAGGGGATATTTCTGTGGGGTAGTATCCACTCAGATGTCTGGTAGAGGGGATATTTCTGTGGGGTAGTATCCACTCAGATTTCTGGTACAGGGGATATTTCTGTGGGGTAGTATCCACTCAGATGTCGGGTAGAGGAGATATTTCTGTGGGGTAGGATCCACTCAGATGTTTTACTGTTCCATGTACGGTGACATTGTTACGACCTTGAAATCGACAGTGAGCACCCATTAAATATCATTCAGGATAACGATGGCAGTTTGGACGAAACCTGTACTCTGTGTCATAATTCTCACTTAATTAGAGTTGAATTTGGTGATTAATGCTGAGCAATTTCTTCCCGATTTTGTTCGATACAAATTAAGTGCTACATTGACTAGTGAAAGCTGATAGTTTGGCTTGTGAACGCGTTACTATAAAGCACGCTTAAGTGTGTACAGTGATAACGTTGATTTAAGCGAGATCAATACCTGAGCCAACACGGATTGTTACCACTACTGTCACTGTATGGCATATAGTGGCCTTCCTTCATCTCAGAGCCCTTCCACCTCAGGATTACATTCAGCTTTGTACATATTGGTCTTTACAGCTAACTACCAAGACCAATGGTGACTGTTCAGAACAGGTGGGTTTTCACACCACAAGTTCAGTTTAATAAAGAACTATTTTTTTGCCATGAATACCTCCATTTCCTTGTTCAAAATATGTTTTTGCAGTTTACACAAGTTCAGTTTTCAATTAAAATAAATATCCAAATTGGGATTGTTTATACAGGTTTCTGTCCTAATTGAAGATCTGCCTTGTACAACAGGTTTCTGTCCTAATTGAAGATCTGCCTTGTACAGGTTCCTAACCTAATTGAAGATCTGCCTTGTACCGGTTTCTGTCCTAATTGAAGATCTGCCTTGTACCACAGGTTTCTGTCCTAATCGAAGGTCTATCTTGTACAGGTTTCTGTCCTAATTGAAGGTCTGCATTGTACAGGTTTCTGTCCTAATTGAAGATCTGTCTTGTACAGGTTTCTGTCCTAATTGAAGGTGTCTTGTACAGGTTCCTGACCTAATTGAAGATCTGTGTTGTACAGGTTTCTGACCTAATTGAAGATCTGTGTTGTACAGGTTTCTGTCCTAATTGAAGGTCTGTCTTGTACAGGTTTCTGTCCTAATTGAAGATCTGCCTTGTACCACAGGTTTCTGTCCTAATTCAAGATCTGTCTTGTACAAGTTTCTGTCCTAATTGAAGGTCTGCTTTGTACAGGTTTCTGTCCTAATTGAAGGTGTCTTGCACAGGTTCCTGACCTAAATGAAGATCTGCCTTGTACAACAGGTTTCTGTCCTAATTGAAGATCTGTCTTGTACAGGTTCCTGACCTAATTGAAGATCTGATTTGTACCGGTTTCTGTCCTAATTGAAGATTTGCCTTGTACAACAGGTTTCTGTCCTAATTGAAGGTCTGTCTTGTTCAGGTTCCTGACCTAATTGAAGATCTGTGTTGTACAGGTTTCTGTCCTAATTGAAGATCTGTCTTGTACAAGTTTCTGTCCTAATTGAAGGTCTGCGTTGTACAGGTTTCTGTCCTAATTAAAGATCTGTGTTGTACAGGTTTCTGTCCTAATTGAAGATCTGTCTTGTACAGGTTTCTGTCCTAATTGAAGGTCTGTCTTGTACAGGTTTCTGTCCTAATTGAAGGTCTGTCTTGTACAGGTTTCGGAAATGTAAAAAGTTCATTCTAAGAATATCATGCAGTGGTTATATTTGACCCCTCAAAGCTAAATCTTTATACCCACATAAGGTGTTACCTCCATTGTTAACGTGACTTGTATTCCGTGACAATTGCAGTCTGTTTGGCTGGGTTTTATTTGCACTCAGAAGGCTATTGACCTGCCCTGCTCATCATCACACTGCTGGTGGTGGTATATAGTGCAGGCTCCCTTTTGAAACGTATGAGCGACACCCATATGAATTGCGTCAATAAATTTTAATCAGAAGATAAAAAAAGTATGACACCTTAAATGGAATATCTCTTACACACATTTGTAGGAGATCTTGGTTATGCAGACAAGAACGGTGTAACTGAATCTTGTATTCCATCGGGACAGTAATTTTCTTGGCCTGCAGTTTTGTGTTATCTATCTTTTTTTCTTCTGAATTTCAGTAGATAATCTGTTCTCACATTGGCGTCAAACATCTATGAAAGCTTGAAAATCCCTGAATTCTATATGTGGTTTATGAATATTAAGATCAACAGTAGGGCCAAGGTGAAATTCTGCCTTGTTTAAGGTAAAATGTTTTAAATTTAAATGCCATCAAATGTCAAACATTGTGTCTGAAGCCAAAGAGTTGTTTGTTAGTGTCAAATAGAAAATGTGAAAAAAATAGCTCATAGGTCAGAAGTGAGGGTCGAAAGTCAAAAGTCGTATTTTTATATTGACTCTGCATGTGGATAGACTTGGTATTCAGAATTTGTGGATAGACTTTTTGTTAGCGAGATTACCTAGAATGATAGCCTACACTTTCAGCCATTCACATGATCATCTACTCGGGCAGTGTCCTTATGCTTGTCTTTCTTTATAGATCAGCCATGTACAAGCTCCTCGTCGTCATCTCCCTCCTTCTCTGCTTCATGCACAATCAATCAGTCCCCTAAAACATAGACTTGATGGTAGTACCGCTGGATTAGAGATAGCTTGATTCACAATTCTATAGAGATATGATTTGATAAGGAGAATTTTGTCTTGTTCAGGAATGGTACATGTGACTCAGAGTCTAAGATAAATAACTGAAATAGATAAAGCAATCCTGATGTTACCTGGAGAGTTATCGATTCATGGTTCCCTTGTTCGTCTCTATGTTGGTGTCATCTTACATTTATGCCATTGACCAAGCAATCTATAGAATTTTTAAGATAACAGGAAATCTATCAGTTTGCAATTGTCGTTATTGTCAGTTCCATTCAAAGGGATGGTTCATGGAATATAGATTGATGTCAGTTTTGATGTTGTTCCTGGGCCCTATTTGAAATTTGCCATAATGCACATACCAGGAAGTGGTTTTGTATCATTTTGAATTTCAACAAAAACATTATTTCTCGACAACAACTGCTATGTAATTTTATGCCATGTATGATGTTGACACTGTGATCATTGCCCTAACAGAAGATGCACACATGCACAAGCGTGATGTGGACATGCTCAAAGGAAACCTTCCTGTCAAGATACAGCGCAAAAGATAGCCTGTTATCACATGGACTGCTGTAAATCAAATTGTCTTGTTTTCAATACGCGCTGTGTTATCACAAGCTCACTGAGTATCTGGACGTGGAGAATGTTTGTGCTAGAAACAAAACCTAATTATAGAGAGTCTGAAACTTATCTATAGGGAATAATGGGCAAATCAAATTTACATGATATTTAAATACGGGGATGTGTTACGCTGGGGAGAAGATGTAAGAACACTTGTACTTTGAAGGGCAGATGTACCTGTTCATCATTGTAACAGTACACAATTTTGCTTGTTTTCTATTAACACACGTAAGCTGTATTTTCGTGGCAATACTTCTGTCATTTGACTGATGTCTTTATTGTATATTTTTAATGTACACTATATGAAAAAGGAATATTTTCAGGTATACTTGTTTAAAACATTCTTGAAATATTTTGTTTACCTCATGTCTATGGTAATTTTCTATGATTGTCAATAAACAATGCTTTTCTCTTTGCCTTAGGGTGAAATCTTACAGGAATGTCATTTAAGGTGACATTCAAAGTTGGAAAAAAATATATATGTAAAAACAATTAAAACTCAGCAGAAGTTTTCTGATAGAAAAATTGACAACAGGGCCAGAGTGGGATTCGAACCCTGGACCTTTGATCACAATACGGCCAGTCTTACCAACTGAGCACCTGATCTCACTACAGTTATATCTAGAGCTAAATTAAGGGGAGGCTACTCTGTGTATGGAAATTACATTGGAATTCTCTAGGTTTTGCCTGCAGTGGCACAGGGATCCTTAAAAATAAAATCATGATTTAAAGAAGAATTTTTCCTGAATTTGCATATTCATATAGAAGATGAGCTTATGGTTTGTTTTGTTTTTTGCAGGACTTTCTGGTTCACCAGTTGACCTCGCTGACCGGCGGAAAGTATTCAGCTCTAATGTGATACCTCCAAAACCTGCTAAAACCTTTCTCCAACTTGTGTGGGAAGCTATTCAAGATGTGACATTAATCATTCTTTTAGTAGCGGCATTAATTTCTCTAGGATTATCATTTTATAAGCCTCCATCAAAAGCAGACGGTAAGGATGAAAAGTCCCGCGGAGACGAGGGTACAACACCTGTCCTGCTAAGCACCTTTGTTTTCATGAATAAAAAAATTCAATGTGGCATATCAAGGTGATATATTTCTGTTTGTAAATTATCACAAAAATGGAAATTATTTCTGGTGAAATGTCACTGACTATTACTCAATCTGAAACTTACGTGAATACTATCGAGAAACCATATACAACTCTGAATTACCCAAACTATTCCTTTACAACAGTCTGATAATGTGTATATAGCAGTTACATGTGGAATGTCAGTAACCTGATATTTATAATTCGCAAAATGGAATAGAGAGTATTTCTGTGGAATGTAATTCAAAACTAGGGTTTAAGCTGTAATATCCTGATTTTCGATCATTTTTTCTGAGGAAGGACAAAAAGGGCTTTTATAATCGGGTATAATTGTATCTGCTACAAATATTTAAAAAGGTCAATATATCATCAGACTTCCTTTCAATGCTGTGTCTAAAAAATAAATTAAAAAAATACGATAATTTGGCCGAAGTAACAAATATATTTTATTACTTATATGTTAATAATACTTATTTTAAGAATATTGTGTGACATTTCCTCGTCCTTTTTCAGGTGATGATTCCGAGTCGGAAGCTGGGTGGATTGAGGGAGTGGCTATTTTAGTGGCAGTAATTGTTGTAGTTTTTGTGACTGCTTTTAATGACTGGAGAAAGGAGAAACAATTCCGAGGACTTCAAAATAAAATAGAACACGATCATCAGTTCTCTGTTATTCGCGGGGGACAAGATACCAACATTCCCGTCGGGGAAATCGTTGTGGGGGATATATGCCAAATCAAATATGGTATGTTTCCTTCTTTTAATTTTGATTTAAGTTATCAAAATACTAGATGGTTTTACATTGCTTATAGATATAACTGAAGGCTAAATATAACCACCCAGTAACAAGATCAATGTTATCATAGTTGATGTTATATTTGATTGATATCATACTTCTTTTAATTTTGTTGATGTCTGAAAACATTGTTCCTGATCAAAATCAATCTTATGTGAAAGCACTCACCAAATACAGCCCCAAGTGAAACATACAGACAGAATGAACAAAACTATTGTTGTGGAAACAGCTAGTCCCATCTGATATTAACATATGGACAAAACAGAACATTATGAGTAAATGTCTCATCAAATATTAACATATGGACAGGTAAAACAAAACTATTATGAAAATACAGCCCCATTAAGAAAACACTTTCAAAAGGAACCAATCTTAGGGGAAACCACTTGAGTTAGTAACCTTCCCATGATAAACCACTTGAGTTAGTAACCTTCCCATGATAAGCCACTTGAGTTAGTAACCTTCCCATGATAAACCACTTGAGTTAGTAACCTTCCCATGATAAGCCACTTGAGTTAGTAACCTTCCCATGATAAGCCACTTGAGTTAGTAACCTTCCCATGATAAGCCACTTGAGTTAGTAACCTTCCCATGATAAACCACTTGAGTTGGTAACCTTCCCATGACAAACCACTTGAGTTAGTAACCTTCCCATGATTATTATAAGCAACCTCTCCACATAACCCAACTCTCTATGGCTGTGCAATGTTAATCTTCTTTTTTTTTTTTTGTCCAAGCAGGATTATTTAGATAAAGAGTGATCATGCAAAGTTGTTACTCTAAAATGTGCTTGCTATATATATATATATATATAGTGTTCTGGTGAACAACTTGAGGGGTTCTATATATACAAAGAATGTCCCCGGGATACAATCACAATCCCAGGATGCAGTGCATGGCCAGATAGAAACCTTATGAATATGATAATTTTCTTGGTATCACTTTACATTTATACAAATGAAATTTTCATTATCATTCATCAATTTGTACAGACTTATTTTTCAAATCATCATATTTTGAAATTTTGTTCACAGTTGTTCTGTCCCTTCTATGAAATCTACTGCCTACTACAGTAGTTTAAAAGAGGGAAAGTAATTAAAAGCCTTCTGACTAAATTGAATTTTAAAAAAACAAAAAAACCATCAATATGATTCGGGGGTCTAAATTGATTGAAAAAGGGTTGTCATGAATCGTTTACTGAATTTATGCTTTTATCCTGAATGGATCATTAAAAATTGATATTCTACCAGATTAATCACATAACATACCCAGATGTCATGAAACCTACATTTTGCCACAGCATTTTGTGGTTCTGCAGAAATACAACAAAATGCTGTTTGAAAGTTTTCTGGTCACCTGTCCATGTATTTCATACACCCCTGTCTTTGGAATGTATGCCACTACATATTATATAGAACAGAACTGTTTTAACATGAAAAGTAGGATTATATTGTCAATTCTACAGACCGATAGCTATGGATAAATATATATTTCATATTCATAATCTTACAATGATGGTTACTGTTCAGAAACTCTTTAAACTCCTACAAACTAGACGTTCTATTGCTAAGGCAGTGTAAAATGGTATTGACTTCAGTTGAGCAATTGTAAGTCTTCTGATGCAAAAGCCAAATTAATCAGCTGCAGTATAAAAAACATAGTAAAACCATTTACAATGTGGTACGAGCTTGAGCCGCATTGAACGTGACGGAATTGTAGATACTACAGAGGTATGGAATAGTGTCAGACATGGCATGACCTAATGTTAAAGTGGAGAATCCCGGCCCTACATCACTGATATCTACAAAAGCTCCAGTCCATAGCGACCAGCTCCCTAAGGAGTCGTTTAGGAAAAGATTTATGGTATATTTGGTCTGCCTCCTTATGTAGTCATCAGTAATGTTTTTCTGTAACAAATGCTCTGGCCCAGAGTTAGTGAGAATTTACCCTTGTGTGTTTCAAGCGCTATTACTTCCTTTTAGTAAAAGTCCAACAGGTGGCAGAGTGTCTTGGGTAAAAAACAAGACCCCCTTCCACTTGAGTCTCCTTGGTTGGGTAACGATCGATTCTTTGTAATGACCCCCTGTAGGACGATGCTGGATGTACAGGCCTCCGAAGGATAAGGCCCTCTGAAGCCGAACAAAAAACATTATCTTACTCTATTGAATCACTAGAGCCCAGACCTTCTATTGGCAGGTTTTTCCTTAGCCAAGTATTGATCCGGCATCAGGCTATTCAATCACTTCGATTATTGAGGGAGAATGTCGGAAGGCGTGAGTGAAGCCTGAGTGGTATGATTGATGGTGCCCTTGTGGGCGGCGTCGCCATGGGGGATTGGATTTGAAAGTAGGCGTTGTCCCCTTTTTTGGAAGGGGGACTGGATTTGACTATTGACGTCATCACGCATGGGTGGGGGTTAGATCTGATAGTGATGTGGGTGTTAGCACCCCAGTGAAAATCTATTCTTAGCATATTCATTACCTTAGCAGGTTAACACCTTCACATGACCTGTAGTATTTTTTTTAAACCACCAAACAAACAAATAACTTTAGATCAAGCGACAGAATCACATCTTCAGAATGCTTGTACTGTAAAATTAAACATTTAAAGGCTTGTTTAATGAAATTAAAACTGTATCTTGCCTTCAAAAATCGGTTTTTGATAAAATTGTATCTTCAGAAGGTTTGTGTGATAAAATTGTACCTCAGAAGATTTGTATGATAAAATTATATCTGCAAAAAGCTTCTGTGATAAAAGTGAACCGTCAGAAGGCTGGTATGAGAAAAACTATACAAGCAGAAAGTTTGTATCATAAAAAGGTAATGTCAGGTTAAAATAAGAATACCTTCAAAAGGCTTGTTTGATAGAAATGTCTTCTGGAAGAGGAGGCACGGTAGTCTAGTGGTAGGACGCTGGGCTTGTGACCGAAGGGTTGAGTCAGGACACTGTGTTGTATCTTTGAGCAAGATACTCTACTCCGCTTGTTCCAGTCTACTCAGATGTAAATGAGTATGTTTTTGGGCAGTGCTAGAAATGTAGAATGCTAGCTGTGAGCGCTGAAATGGCAGCACCGGCTGTATGCTCTCCGGGGATTTGAAAAAGATATTGGCTGGTTGCAAAGGCTCTATAACCACAGATAATAATTTGTGAACCACTTTGGCCAACCGATGAACTAGGTTGTGATTAAGCGGTATATACGAACCTCAAATTATTAATTATTATCAAGATTTGTGTGATAAAATTATCCTGTCAAAAGGCTTATATCTTATGTTTTTATTTATTTCAGGTGATTTGTTACCTGCTGATGGAATTATTATCCAAAGTAATGACCTAAAAATAGATGAAAGCTCACTAACAGGAGAATCTGACCATGTGAAAAAGGGGGAGATCAGAGATCCCATGCTTCTCTCAGGTAAGTTGTCCCCCCTTATGTGAATTATCTCCCCCTTATGCCAGGTGCAAAGTGAACAAAAAGCTTAGGCCAAAGTTTTACTTGAGGGAAATCATTGTTTTGTGCCAACATATCCACCTTTCAGCAAACCTCGTACAAAGATTGGCAGCCTTGTATGTTTATCTTGGTTGGTTACTGTACAAAGTTTGGCAGCCTTGTATATTCATCTTGGTTGGTTACTGAACAAAGTTTGGCAGCCTTGTATGTTCATCTTTGTTGGTCACTGTACAAAGTTTGGCAGCCTTGTATGTTCATCTTGGTTGGTTACTGTACAAAGTTTGGCAGCCTTGTATGTTCATCTTGGTTGGTTACTGTACAAAGTTTGGCAGCCTTGTATGTTTATCTTGGTTGGTTACTGATCAAAGTTTGGCAACCTTGTATGTTCATCTTGGTTGGTTAATGTACAAAGTTTGGCAGCCTTGTATGTTCATCTTGGTTGGTTACTGTACAAAGTTTGGCAGCCTTGTATGTTTATCTTTGTTGGTTACTGATCCAAGTTTGGCAACCTTGTATGTTCATCTTGGTTGGTTAATGTACATAGTTTGGCAGCCTTGTATGTTCATCTTGGTTGGTTACTGAACAAAGTTTGGCAGCCTTGTATGTTTATCTTGGTTGGTTAAGTACAAAGTTTGGCAGCCTTGTATGTTTAATCTTGGTTGGTTACTGTACAAAGTTTGGCAGCCTTATATGTTTATCTTGATTGGTTACTTTACAAAGTTTTGATGCTTTGTTTAAATCATAACATGTATAATATCTGTGTTGGGTTTGTAGCTTCCTCCTTGTTTTACATTAGAATGTAGGTGGTCTCATCTTCAGCTGATGGAAATGGACGTAGTCAGTTTTACGGAAATGTTGGCATCCATTGGAAAAGTTTGTCAAGTTACGACACATACAAGGGGCACCATAAAATTTTCAGATTACTAGTCTGAGTTTTTCCAAATTTTTGGGTCTTGCAACCCTCAATATGTTAAGGAAAATTAATGGCATATCGAAGAATCTACAATGACATTTTAGAAATATTAGGATTTCAGAAATCGTTGGAAAAAGCATGTACAGTCAGGCCTGTATTAAGAGACCACCCATAAAATGTCCAAAAAGAGTTCATTAACACTGGTGATCACTACAATGGAAACAATGAAAGTTGTCTCTGAACACAGGTGGCCTCTTAACTCATTCACCCCTGAAGACATATTTGAACTCTTCCAACTTTGGAATTGGAATAGTTCATTATGAAACTTCAGGGGTGAATGAGTGAATAAGAGGTGGTTGCGTAAACAGATTTGATTATATTAGGGAAATTCTGAAATAAAATTGTGCTCTGCTAGAAGTAAAATTTGAATCTTACTGAGGAATTATTTTTAAAATTGAAAAGGGACGAGAAATGTCTTATATTCTAAATAACCCTAACCCGATTTTCTTGTAAACAAGGAATGTAATGTAGTTGTTTTTCTGGAGGTACATTACAAATGTAGGTCAGTCGCCTCTTTAATCAATAACAATTTAATCGCAGTGCATGTTTCTAGATGTGTGCTTGCTCTGTGGTGGTGTGCTTGTCTGAGATTCTATCTTCCTATAGAATGGTGGTTCTCAAACTCCCATTACCGTGGAATGGCAACCACTAATAGATAAGTAATAATACAGTTCATGTAGATAATTTGTTCTTTCCCTTCTTTGCAATATAAAAACCTGACCTGAAATTGTTGTATCTTACAAAATTATACATGGAAGCACCCTCCTTCTGATCTGCTTGATATGAAAATGACAGGAAATTGCTATTTAAGTGAAGTGAAATTGCTATATCTGTGAAGTGATATTGTTATTTGATTTTGGGTAATTTATAATGTTCTGGCATGATCACCGCAAGCTTGGTTGATAATGACCATTTTGGTGTGGAGCGTTGTTTAGGTTTAGAAGTGAATTAGAAATTCATCTTCAAAGTACTAAGTTGAGATGATTTAAGATAAATTATACACATTTCAATTTTAACTTAAATCTTTTTGGAGTTTAGGTTCACTTCTCAGGTCATGTTGATAAACTACATACTTCAAATTATGGTTCAATAACTGTAAACCAGGATATGTTTACCCTTCACTGATAAAATTTATATAATGTTACCCTCCACATGTAAATACTTAACATAATGTTACCCTGGATCCACATGTAAGTCTTTATATAATGTTACCCTCCACATGTAAATACTTAACATAATGTTACCCTCCACATGTAAGTCTTTATATAATGTTACCCTCCTCATGTAAGTCTTTATATAATTTTACCCTCCACATGTAAATGCTTTATATAATGTTACCCTCCACATGTAAATACTCAATACAGTGAGGTATTTACTAATATTCATTTTCATATTAAATTTGATCTTATTGTGGAAGGCGAAACAGGCGCAAGCTTAACTATGGTGAACATTTTCCCATTATACATTAGATAAAATTCAGTATTAATGAAATTTAACGTCAAGTGTTTGGTCATATTTAAAGTGCTTTTTACTTCAAAGCTGATACTTCAGTTAATTGATTATGATTCACTTGAAACTGGTTTCTTTGACAACACAATTTGGGTTGGCATGGTAGTAGAAGTGGATTTAACTAGGTCTAGACCTAACGATCTATAAAAATCATTTTGTTATGTCAAAACATGATAGCAAAGAACACAACAGGTCTAAATTTAGGTTAAATGTTGGAATGAAGCGACATCCATCAATTGTTCTGAAAAAATATTGCTGCTATTCCTAAAGAGGATCATACAAATATAGATTAAGAGGATAATGCATCAGTGTCTTGGTAATTTGAACCCTGTTGACGTACAAGTTGTTCCTGAAATAAGCCAGAGATTGCCCCTGCCTTGGTAGTAGTTACCTGCTATACTGGACGATGATCAGCCATAATGATGAGGTGTCGGATGCTTTTTCTCACTTTCTGTATTATATCTGGTCTGTACTAGGTGACTGAAGAATTAACAGATATTTTACAGAATACTGCCTTGCAATCTTGTGTATTTTCTTACTTGGAAATTCCCAGATCTGTCATAAAAAATGGAGACAAATTATCCTGCGTTTCAACAGTTGTGGTCTAAATAAACATAATAGGTTTTATGTTAGATTTCAAATAGTAATGATTCTTTTGTGATAACAATAGATTTCACCTCATGGCATTAAAATTTCCTGTGTGGTGCTGAATGAAATTATGAAATTAATGGAAATAATTTGATTATACAATTATATTACACAGAGGAGGTTACAAAATCTTAAAACAATGGTTATTTTCATGAATATTGAAAAGTTACATTCAGTCCCATTCTTGAGTTCATATCAACCCTGTAAAACCACATCACAACATGTCAGTTATTTGTAATTCTACACTTTGATAATCAATATGATGGCATCAACTGTTCCAGCAGGCCTTATGAATATTCTGTTAGCGTGGGGCCATTGTCCTTGTCTTGGATACAAAGGCATCAAATTTGTCTGAACAAATTGATCACATGGTCATTCTTGTTCCAAATTTCCCTGACTTTCAGCTATTTAGGGCATTGGTTTCCCTTCCATCAAATCCATGGCAGATTCAGGGAGTATTTTCGTATGGTAATCTCTCCCAAAAGTAATATATTTTGACATAAAGGTTTATATAGTGCTGGCATGGAAAGTGGCCATTTGTCAGGTCCAACCAATCTTTGGGTCTCCTCTGACGGTCAATTACGCACGAGCTGTATACAGTCACTAGATTATAGAATCTGGGTTGCTCAGAATCTTGTCCAATAGCAGAATGCATAGAATTCAAACACCTTTCTAATCTGAATTATATCAAAATGATTTTTGTTTACAAGATGGAGATCAATAATGTAGTCTGCTAGTGATTTTATCCTCCTTGGTGTGTTTTTGTGAGAAATGATAAAAATGAAATTTTGACTGGCTACTGTTTCATCAGATATTGTAAAGCTTTGATTTTCACTAAGACTCCATCAGTCATCAGCGTGTTCTGGGGAAGTTCTAGCCAAGCTTGTAGATTTCTACCTTTACTGTAGGAGAGCGACTTTGCTGCCAAGCAAATCACAAGCTTTGAAACTACGCTGTGGAGCCACTAGTCTGTGGAGCCGCTAGTCTGTGAAACACAGCAATAGAAACCGGGCTAGGGTTTCGCTACTTGTACACTTTTTACCCAAAGGTGAAATTAAATGTCAAATGTGTATGATCATCGTAGCTTTGATTTATTTACATATGTGACTGAGACTGAGAGAACTAAGTGGCCACCAGTCTGTATGTACATCCTTCTAGATCTACACCCACTACACAAATCTCTACCCAAATACTTACAAAATAAGGTTCTGTTAGTTGTTTTACTTTTACAACCCAAAAAAAGATACCTTCTTCTTTCTCTTCCAAAACACTACAGGATTCAGTGCATTGTTCAGAGAGGATATTAACTTATCTATGCTATTTATATTCTGATCACGAAGATTTAGTGCAATTCGTTTAAGCAGATTTTATTGCATATTACAACAAAAGGATTAGGCGCAATTGATCACAACTTATTTATGTTTATTTATGTATTCAGTGCTATAATAGTGTGTCTATTGTAGCTGCTATGAAGACTAACCTGGGTACTCGCCTAGGGGCTAAGTTGTTTTCATTCCAAGAGACGAGTGCTAAAACAAAATGTTTTTTAACTCATTTACCCCTGACATTTCATAATGAACTATTCCATCCTTTGAATTGGAAGAGTTCAAATGTGTCTTCAGGGGTGAATGGTTTAAAGTTAATTGGGGACTAGGCCTTGGGATGTGATAGTATGGGTACAATGACTGCTCCATTGACCAGAGAATGGGTGTTACGACAAGATGTTTATGATTGTTAACAAACCTCTACTTCATCATAAAGTAATTTGTTATAATGACTTCATCCCTACTTTTGTCCTGATTTAGCTATCCAGGGAGTTAGTTCTCTGTCAGACATGTGTTAGTGTGAAAACTTCCCCCTGCAAACTAACTCCCTCAGAAATTTCCAGTAAAGGAGACTTACTCCCTTGGCGATTTATGTAAATTCTGTTAGTGTGAAAACTTTCTCCTGTAGACTGAATCCTTTAGAAGTTCCAGTAAAGGAGACTTACTCCCTTGGCAATTTATGTAACTTCCCCACAAAAATGAGAAAACTATTAGGTTGGCAGATCTTGTACTGACCTGACACCAACTAGTCATCAATCTTGAGACAACAGTGCAGACTGTATTATTGAAAGAGTAAATATGGCTCTCGACAGGTTTTGGGAAATTGCTGTTGGAATATTGTATTTGCAAAGCCCAGACTTTTTAAAGATTTCTGGAAACATTTTCTCACATTGCCCACTTCATCAGATAGCCTGCCGTGGGCATTTTTCAATGTAAAAATCATAAAGCTTGCAGGCAATGTGCAAGAAATTACCTTAATGTAATTAACATGTCTATTTTCTATCTTCCAACTCTAAGATTTGTTAATATTCGGTCTTTATGTTTTAAGGTACCCATGTCATGGAAGGCAGCGGCAAAATGGTGGTCACTGCAGTCGGTATCAACTCTCAGACAGGCATCATATTTGCTCTCCTGGGAGCATCACAGGAAGAGGATGAAAAGAAGGACAAGAAAGAAAAAGACAAAGGGAAAGTGAAAGGGGACAACACAGGTATTATTGGGCACGCTGGCTTATATACCTCCATTGGAGGGTAGTTCTGGACACAATAACAAAGGTGTCTAGGTGGCTAGCATACATAGACAGACACAGCAGGGGTGCCGTCAGGGTGGAGCATGTTCGCATGATACAGCAACAAGCAATTTGGAGCTCGCCTTGCATCTTGTGTAGAACGGGAACTAAACAGGACCGCATGCACTCATACTTAAACACCATGCCTTTTATCTGGCAATTTACACACAAACATGGAAATATGCCAGATATGACCATATGGGAATTTATTTACAGAGGACATAATTATTCTTTAATCTGAGATTGGAATGATTAATTTAGAAATTTGCTTGTGTAACCAAAAATCTAGATGGGCTTTACTTGCAATTAAAAGCAAACTTGACTTTTTGGGATTGGTATATATATGCACAGACAGCCTTGGTTAGCATGTAATCATTATATATATATATATACTAGTATCCTATATAACTCATTCTCCACCCACACAATCCACTATATATACACCAGACAGCGGCGTCCTCCGTAGCTTACACCACAGAGGTTTATGAGAATACACATACATATGTATAGATGTTTATACTAACACATTAATGATTTCGGTTCATGTTTGTCATGCTGCATATTATTGGAACATTTGATAAATTTGTCCTTTTATGCATAATTATCCTCAAGTTTTTATATTGTTTAATCTAGTATGTGTGTGTACTCTGAATTTATCGTAGGATTTTCTTACCATGTCTGTATATTGATATAAATATGTACAATTTGAAATCCTCATTTCCATATTTCTTTTTCATATCAATGCATTGCAGGGTTGATTTTGTTCATTACCTTTCAAATATCCAGATTTAAAATACATAGTGGAAGTAATAAAGTTGCATGAACCGTCTTTAACTCCATGAACTAGAAATCTCCCAGCCTCCATTGAAGTCGATGGTAAAAATTGATATAACATGCTGTATGTCACAGTACTGAAAATGAAGAAACCTTTTTGTCAGACCCTAACACAGATTACTGAAAAAGAATCTGTTCAATAAAAATAATGTACAGTTTATAATTATGTAGTGAGTTGAGAAAGGACATTTGTTGCTTCAAAAATGTGAAAATACTATTTTTAGTCATGAACATTGATGTTGCTTTAAACCTTAAAAATTGCAACAACAAAATAAGGTTTAAACACTGGATAAAACCATATAAAACATACAACGAACATTCCTCGTTATGTGTCAGAAACTACCAAAAGGAAATTTCTTTCTAGAAAAAAATGTTAGATCTGTTAGCCAGAGGATGGTTAAACCCACTGATACCTCGCTTGGAGATGGGACGTGTGATCATTTCCCTCAGAATATGAAGTATCAGAACAAATGAACCTGTCATGCAATGATATGAAATATGAAAGACTATGTATCTAGATAGATATTCCTGATTATGTACTTCCAATGTGTAGCCTTTGTTGGCAGTTCAAAACCCAACGTCCCCCCTCCAGTCACAGACTTAATGTGATTGGTTGGCTCTGTTTTATTTCTATACTTGAAACCGCCACAGGACACTTCATTCTTTGGTGATTTGAAATTGATTTGTTTTAAAGATAAATTATTTTGATATAAAAGCAATAAAACCTTAGTAAAGGTTACTGTCAGAAATTCCTGTTTGTAATATGGTTTTGAATGGCTATTTCACATAAATGCATGCTGCTTTGTATGTAATTGTCAGAAGTCGTGCATGTTGTCTTGTATGAAGTTTGTCATATGAACTTCATGCTGGACTGTGGGTGTGTAGCAGATATTGTATTTTTACATGTGGTATAATACTTTTATGTGGTGTATTTTTACATGTGGTATAAGACTTTATGTGGTGTATTTTTACATGTGGTATAATACTTTTATGTAGTGTATTTGGGACAAGTTTATTCCAGCATTATCCCAAAATGTTGAGTGTGAATTCAGGAATGCTTATCTTACCAGCTCAAGGAATTAAATAGTTTAAAATGTTTTACGTAATTATCAAGTATTTGATATGCTGAATGAACTTGTGTTCTTCCCGCCTGCCCCGGTCTTATTACAAATTTTNTTTTGGATGTTATTTTTCCCCTAAATTGGCACACGTTGCTTGTCTTCCACATAAAATTCATTAAGAACTAAATTTGAAATAATATTTTGAGAGACAATCCTTTTGGGAACAATTCAACGCTCTAAGTTGATTTTTTCCTGTTCATTGGCAGAATAGAAACTGTATATGTTCTTAGAAGAAAGCATATCCTCTAAATTAGGTCAGATTATCTCCCTTGGTTAACTGTAATTTGATAATGTTTGTAATGTGTCACCAAGTCGTAAAAGAAGCTATATAGAAAATGTCAAAGTTTGTGACTCTTCGGAAAGTGAGGTGTATTTCACAGTAAGGAAGCATATATGCTTAAATCCCAAAGCTATCATAATAACAAAGTAGATAAGAAGATTAGTTATAAAAAATGGCTGTTCCTATGTGACACCTGGTTGGCTTACTGAGATTGTCTTGTTTGACATTAGATACATTGTAAAAGAAACTATAAGATTGTTTTATACGTCTCAATATTGACACCTCCACAACCGTTAACCCTCATGCAGTGCACAAAAAGATTAGACGATATACTGTATGATGTTTCATTATGTTCAAAAACCTAAATGACTCTATTGTCATATTGCAAAAAAAATAGATTGAGGGGAATAGCTAACTTGGGTTTTTGCATGATAACTTATATGTCTCTGTGTTAAGGGCCAAGACATGATGTTTAAATAATTAAACAAAATGAAATCAAAAGAAACTGAAGTTCAACAAATGTTGTTCAATTGCACAGTTTCTAATAATGTGATGCTATGGCAAGCGAAACACTTAATGTTGTGTTGTAATATGTAGTTTGAATGTCAAATTTTAGTTTCATTATCCAAACATTTCATTTAATTCAAATTAGTTATTTAATTTATCCTTGTGACAAGTCTGTAATTTGCCAAAAAATTATCTGTCCAAAAGCTTCATGCTTTTTGTAATGCTTTTAGCACATAAACAAAATTTTAGTGCACCACTTAAATTTGTTATTCTTTAAACAAAAATTCATTTGACCTGTACGCATCCCCGGTACAGTAGAATGGTCAAGTCTACTGATCATTCTATACAATGGTCAAGTCTACTGACCATTCTATGTATCGGAGAAGTGCGAGGAGAAATGTTGTAATGTGTGTGTGTGTCAATGTACTTATATTACACATTAGTACATGTTCTGTAGTATTCAGTCTGGTTGACCTAGCTGAGAGACCAACCCAATCAGACTTTCCACAATCAATATACCCAGAACTGTAAGACATGTTACACAATAGGTTTGGATTCTGAAACTAAAAGCATGGCCGGGTTTACCGTTAGACATTCATGCTTGGCTCTTTTGTTTTCTCTATGATAATTGAAAGAGGTGACTGTTGTGTCCTATAAAGGTAAAGTACGGAAAAAACTGCACGCATAAACCTGTCACTGGTTACCTCCCCTTCTTTTATTTTGCAACTTTTCTTTTAATCCACTCCACATCAGTGCAAAGAAGTATTTAATTTTTTTCCAGAGATTTGGAACTTTTTTCTTGGTATATGAAGATTTTTTGGCATATATATCTAACTAAATGTTTTAATTTATTCGAAAATAGAAATATATAATATTCCAGCAACCTTTTCTTATGAACTCGTGTGGTTTGGAATCTTCACATGATGATGACAGGAGAATTGTCATCCATCACCGACAGTATTGTCCTGTTTGTCGTCTGTCCAAGCTTGTTTGTCTCCTGTTTGTCAAGCGTTATTTGTTGTCTCTGTACCTAACTGTTTGTCAGTTCAGTTTTGCACTTTCAATATTTCTAAAATCTGTGTTCCTCTTCATCTGCTGTTGGATATGGCTGTTTTGTAATGTATTAATCCTGTCAGTATATATTAAAAGGAATATTCCGTGAGTGGTAAAATTTACAAACTGATAGATGGACAATTTACTTTTAAATTGTGATGATTTGTTGGATGAGCATGGTACAAATTTTCAAGGCAGTCATTCACAGAATATTTCTAGCGATGATTTGGTTTTCATGCTTTTAAAATAAGAAAAAAACAAATGTTGAATCCAAAATGTACAGAGAAATATTCTCATTTGCATACACAAGATGAAAAATTTGCCATATATCTGATCTTATCTAATGTTTATCATTTATTTCTTAAATAATGAAAAAAACATTTTGAAAACCAGACCATTGAACCAGTAGTACAAGGTATTTTAAGGGTACTAACTCCACTGTCTCTATATATTTACTGTCATGCCACACATTACATGATCATTGTCTGTCTAGTACTTGTCTTCATTGCATATTGTCATTTTCCATGTGTTAATTCTATAACATATCATATTCTCCTTTTCCAGATTGTTTATGTATGTTTGGGTTCATGCCGTTTTGGACATGATCTTGACATGATCTTGATTTTGACTGTTTAACTTTGCTTCCCGGTTGTTTTGGCTTGCAGGCACCCGACCTAACACTGCAGGCCAGAATGTTCCATGTAAGTCTCCTTCTCTTCATCTTCTGTCTCATTGAGCAAAACAAAAACAAAACTATTTGTCTCTTCGCTTTGTGATTTTTCTAAATTTGTTATTTAATATTTAACATTGTTGATACATATCTTAAAAAGACCAACACATTCTGCTGTTTGGCAAAAGTTGTACGTATTTATCTATATGAAGCTTTTATAAAATCAATGTTTGTAATTCAAACAACTGTGAACTGTGATACATGCTTGATAATGAGAAATTTAACATGGATATTACATCATATTATCCCAGATAAAAACAAATATGCTATATAATTGGTTAAAAAAAAAACTACCATATTTCATGCTATAATGCTAAAAAAAATAACCATGCAACTAACAGATTAAGCTTTATTATAAAAATATTTTCTGGAAATACAAAATAATAAAAAGAAAAATCAATTAGATGTAATTTTAGGTCTTCTGTTCAACCTGTTGTGTGATTGATATTAAATATTCATCAGACATACTTCATCTTCTGTCTCATTGAGCTAAACAATAACAAAACTATTTGTCTCTTCGCTTTGTGATTTTCTAATTTTGTTATTTAATATTTAATATTGTTGATAAGTATCTTGAAAAGACCAACACATTCTGCTGTTAGGCAAAAGTTGTACGTATTTATCTATATGAAGCTTTTATAAAATTAATGTTTGTAAATCAAACAACTGTGATACATGTTTGATAATGAGAAATTTAACATGGATGTTACATCAAATCATCCCAGAAAAAAAAAATAATGCTACAATTTGTAAAAAAAATAAAAAATAATGTAATTCTGCAACTAACAGATTAAGCTTAATTCAAAAAAATATTTTCTGGAAACACGAAATAATAAGAATAAAAAAAACAAAATTAGATGTTATTTTAGGTCTTCTGTTCAACCTGTTGTGTGATTAATATTAAATATTTATCAAACATACTTGACCCAGCTGTAAATGTACTTAACCCAGCTGAAAATGAAAAGCTAGGTACTTGCCAGGAACCGTCTAGATAGTTAGTCGGGAAGAAAAGTTCGGTCACGTTTGAAGGGTACCAGTTTGTAGCCTCTGTGTGATTTCATTTCATTTGAAATGATTTATAATCTGTTCCTGGTTGAGTTTATTGAATATCTTCACATGTAGTGTAACATTTAATCCATTTTATCATTTTTCCCATCATTTACGTGTGACTAACTCGGTCCTTTTTACCAGGGCTTTCAATTTCATTTTAAAGGGGATATTTGCATGTGTATATCTCTATTTTAATCTAGAAAAATTAAATTATGGAACTTATTTGTTTGGTTTTAATTTTGGCAATGATATCTCTGGTTTTATCCAGGTAAGTTTTTCCATATGCTAAATGTTTGATTTGTACATGATCATTATTGATATAACTTAATGTTAGTTTAGATTTGATTTTAACCAGTAACACTGTAACTATGTAGACTGTTAACTTGAGCTAATGTAATTGTTATATGATACAAAGTCTTGACAGTGTCAATAATTATTAAGGTAGGTATATAGAGGATCTGTCATATGTTTCCCTTCATATTAGATTTATGATACAAGTTTTGGATTTTTTATGTTTGCAAGCCTCTGCCGAGCAAATATAAAAAATCCAATATGAGAATCATAAATATAATATGAATTAAAACAAATGACAGATTCTTTTCATCATATAATACAAAGTTATCTGTATAATTTTGATCTGAAACAAATATTTTGCACTTGGCCGCCTCTGAAACGATGAAAATTGCATCCTCTCCACAATGACGTGACTCACATTGATTGTTCCTATTTGAATGTGATTTCATTTCCGGAGTGATATTACAGACGTTACATAAACATAATTTATGTGATGGCTTTATGACACTGCATAACATGGTATTCATAGGATAAATATTACTATGTATTTATGATTGTTATAAAAGACGTTACTTTTAAAATGTAATTGTGTATGTTGCAGTAAATGTTGTAAGGAAAAAAAATCAATAACATTAATGTCATTTCCAAGTAAATGACATTTTATTTTTGCATAATTTATAGATACATATGTATTATTGTTTTTGATATGCATGTATCATTCATTTTAATGATTTCAAGAAATGATCATTTGAGAATTATCCGATTCCAAATCTTGATATCAGTTTTGCATACAAAGTATTTGATTTGCAATGGAATTTCGTTTATAGATGTCAAAATTATTTTCAAAATATAATTATGAATATTATATGTTTTTCATTTTATTTTCATAATAATTGAAACAATTTATGATTTTATTTTTAATTTATACTTTCTTTGTTTCATTTTCCATTAGTGCTTACTAGCGATGCTGACACCAAAGTTGGTACGTGACTTCGTAAGCCTACGGCACATTGCATGTTGTTGTCTTTAGCAAACTACTGGCCTCCTTGTCACACAAATTTGGGGCTCTGTGAAGTCTTACAATTTCTCAGTCACAGTTGATAGTCAAGAGACAAGTCAGCCACTGACTCCTGATGTATGGTTTCTGTGGCAACTGGCTGGTAACCTCTTCATCCCATCTCCCCACCATGGACTTCCCTGCTGTTTGATTTAGGTGCTGCCATGAGGGGTTTTAGGGTGAGAAGGTTGGGAGAGGGAAGGGAGAAAGGCTGATCATTGGTTGCAATGCTAAGGCCTTCCAATCAATGTTTAGATAGTACTTTTGGTTGAGGATATGTTTTGTCCATTAGTCCTCACTTTCTGGATCTTAGCAGTTATTTCCAAAGTTTTGTAGCCAATTTTGAACAATTAATTTAATCTTGCAGTTCTTTTGGATGCTGTGCCACTTAAATTTGTGGACAATATGTTCATTTCTATGAATATCTCCGAAAAGTATTAAATCAGTCAGTATTAAGCCATTTTTTTCTGTTACTGAAAAAATCATGTGAAAGAAAACCTTAAGTATACTTCCAAATGTTATATGGAAAAATGCTTCTTTTTTCTTAACTGGGTTTTGGTGTGACAAGGGGGTTTGTGTTTTGTTAAATATCAAATGTGTTGTATCTGCTTTACAAATTACTTGTGTCCTGTACCTTCACAAACTTCACCAATGTCAGGTTCACTGATTACCTCTACAACACTTACATATCAAATGTTCAAGGTTGTCTTCTCCTTTTTTGAACATTTTATTCAAATGGGGAGCATATTACTCTTTTCGATTACATATAGATCTCTTATTTCTAGACGTTGATTTACCTTCACAAACTATTGCTTGACCTTGACATGTCATTGATTGACCTTAGCAATAACAATTATTTGACCTTTACACACGATTGATTGACCTTTTACAAACCATAGATTGGCCTTCACACACCATTGATAGACCTTGGCAAACCATTGATTGACCTTTACACACCATTGAGTGACCTTTGCACACCATTGATTGACCTTTGTACACCATAGATTGACCTTTACACACCATTGATCTTTGCACACCATTGAGTGACCTTTGCACACCATTGATTGACCTTTGCTAGATCCTTCAAAAGACTTACTTCTGACCTGAGTATGCCAATAAAAGAGCTCAAGGATGGCAAAAAAAAAAATCAAGAAATAACATTCGTCTATTTCTCATGTTTGCTTGCCTGATCCACATGGTAAAGGTCATTTATTGCTTTAACTCATTTACCCCTACATATTTAAACTGAACTTGCCCAGCCTCTGATTTGGTGAGGTTCAAATGTGATGTTAGGGTTGAATGGGTTTAAATCATCTGATTGGGATTTGTATTGTTATACAATTGTCTACTACAGATAACATTTCCTTTAGAGGTCGCTTCTCAGATGTCAAAACCTGTTGGTGCCAAGCAAAGCCCAGATTAAAGCTGATCTGGAGAATTTGAATTTGTTTATTGGAAATTTGTGCAATGAAGATACAATTCCATATAAATCTGTACTTTATATATATATCTATATAGAAAATGGTTTCTTTTCAAGCTGGGCTGTATACTTTAATATTTTCTTGCCATATCTTGCGAAGAAGATGTCACTTTCATCAAATTGTATGATCCCTGAAAAATGAGACAGGAAGTCTGAAATTTATCAGAATGTGTTTGTCATTGAACTGTGTTCAGCATTTATCCCATGGCCGATGGTCCCTAGTGGCTAGTTCTGTCATCAATCACACAGTTCCAGCTTGAACTGAAGGATTTAATGGAAGAAGACAGGTGCCACACTCTTCTGTGAATATTAACAGGCCTTATAAAAGCACGGCTCACGCAATCTGGTGTGGTGTGTACCTTGGCAATGTCAATGTCCTGAATTTTCAACCAAATTATTTCTATGAAATTTTCCCTTTTTATCAGTCACAAAAGTGTATCATGTCCATGTCAAGCTTTAGTTTTTTAATCATGAAATAAATAACTTTTATCCAGATTATTTTCAAATAAAATTATCTTGATTATCATCTACTCCAAAATTGAAAGAAAAAAATATTTTTAATAGACAAAGTACATTATATAATCAAAGAATTAAAATGTATCAAATTATGATAAATGAACAAAGGACTATCTGAGCTAGTAAAGCTTTCTAAACATGTCTTTATCATTGACAGACTTCGGCTCAGTGTCATATTCCTTTAGGTAGGCCTGTTGGAGGTAGAGGTCATAGGTCAAAAGTCATCACTTGGCATTTACCAGTTTGATGACCTTCATCTGAATGTCAGGGCCACAATCTGGTTTTGTTCATTGTCCCCTTGAGACCTGGATTAAGTGGAGATGGTATAAATATTTTGCTTTTAACAATGCCTTGTAATATTGGTGTAATGAAGATCAATAAAATAGTTTTGGAAAGCTTGGTATAGAGGGTAAAGTGTATGCTCCTCCAGAGACAGTCCTGCTATTGGTCAATACACCGTAAGTTAATTAGTCAACTGTAGAGGTCACACCAGGCAAGGCAAAACAGCAAACCTACATAACTGACTGCACAACTTCCAGATTATTGTAAGCTGAAAGTGCCAATAGTAATGACATTTTCCTGAGTTGTATTATTTGGTACAGCATTCTTTGGGGTTTGTCACTCGATGAATTGAGCTTAATACGGGAGGGTAAGAAATGCTTGATTAAAGACCCAAATCTCAATGTCTAAAATAAAAGCATAAATGGTGGAATGAAGGAACATGGGAACTTTTTCTAGCCATTAATAGAACAAGATCCCTTTGTATCCTTTTACAGATGAAAGTTGATCGTACCTGTTTTGTGTGAAGAATTATTGTCCGAAAATTTGACCAACTATCGTCATTTTATTGCATCTCCTTTTTGGTATGGTTAGAAAGTATATTACTGGTTGTTGAATGTTAAAACCAGGGGTTTTTATCCTGCCAACATCGTGTGTAGTTGTAGAACTAAATGAATATACAGGGGAGAAATTCCGAAACTAAATCAGTATTATCTCATCATGACCAAGATCAAGTGTATTGAGAATGGTACCCAGGGGAGTACCAATGGCCGACAGTGTAGGTATAATGTGGTGATAGCACCCTCCACCCACATACAGCCAAGGTGTGCGTGGGCTTACACTGTTGATATCCTTGTTCAGTCCCACAGCTAGCACCAGCATATTAACAAGCATCTGTGACAGCTGGAATGATTGAAGAAATTTAACCTTCATTTTGCACATTCATGCATTGGAGTTCTGATTGGAACATAAAATGGAGTTAACACAATGACAGATGAATCATAGCTATGAAACTAATTCAAAGTGAAGATCTGCAGGAAACAGGCACCACTCCTGAGAGCAGGAAAGATCTTCCTGTTACAGCCTTCGTGTCAGGTTTTACCATGGATACCAAGGTTGCCACAGGTCATCCTATTGTAGTGAATAGGACTGCCAGGGTATGGCTCCCATTCTGTTCCAGGGGGACCATCTCAGTCAGAAATTGGGGCCACCCACTCCACAGGGAGCATCTCAAAATCTAACACATTCATCATTAATGAATTATCTATAGAACTTTCATGTAGCCAATAGCCAAATAGCTTTATACAGGTTTTAAAGCCAGAATTACGGATTGTATTCTGCTCAATCATCATTTATTTGAGTGTATTGATACCCTGTATGTATTTCATTGAGTGGATAGGATGTCACATGTCCACCCAATAAAACATGGTATTTTACAATACGCCTCCTCCTAATAGTGTTATGTCATCCAAGTTGTTTGTCAGAGGCAGTCACCTCAGGATCCATCTGTCACCTAAGTTCAGGTTTTAGATGATGGAGGTGGATATGGGTTTTATTGACTGTGTGTATTTTGATAATAACCTTCCTGAAGTGATATTTCTGAAACAACTGTCATGTCAGAACTTTTTACTTGTTTTATTTAGAACCAAAAAGGGAATGACAGAATAATGGTCTAATAAATAGTAATGCAGAAAAAACTGTAACCTAGCTGTAACCTAGCTTAGTCAGACTGCTATGATGTTTGTACCTGGACCAAATCATTGCATTTTATTTTGCACTGCATTACATTTACTGTCCTTGATACATGTATTAAGATTTTCACATTAGTAAATACTTCGCGGAAGTAAGAATACACAGGATGGTCATAGTCTCAACTGTCACAACCACTAGACGAGACTCTGAACGAAACATGACTGACCACCAAACGTGACTGACCACCAAACATGACTGACCACCAAATATGACTGACCACACTGATGGTTACTTAGCAATGGAGTTCTGCAGGTGAAGACTGACCAAATGTAAGTGCAGTAATAAATCCAAACTGTTTTACTACTGGAATACCCCCCTCACCTATACCACACACTCCCTACCTGTCCTCAAATAGACCACACAACAATAACACATCCTAACAACATACCTGTATTTCTCACCTGTGTGACAAGCAATTCATTCACCTGTAGACTAGAAATGACTTTCAGTGTACATACAATTTTCTCACCTGTATTTTCACCTGTATCATACCTCAGTTTCTTACCTATATACCTGGCAATGTTCGTACATTTGATGATGTTTTGGCCTTTTCCTAAGATCATTACAAAAAATTACAGATAGTAAAAAAGCATAGGCTATATGAGTAAGCTTTGGAGCAGGATGATCTACAGAATATGCATGATATTTGCTGCTTTATTTCAAAAAAAATGAATTTCAAGATATTGTTATTGTCAGGCAGCTGCATGATTTTTGGTCGAGGTATTTTTTGCAGTTTTTCAAGCTGTAGTAAAGTTAAAACAATCAAGAATTTTACCAATTCTTTTTTGAAACAAAGTGTACATATCCAAGCTATTTATCACTTTAAGGAGATTTATATATGTAATCTCCCTTCACAGATATAGACCAGATAAACCCACAAGTACCGACAGGAAATTCCCACAATGCAGTGAATGCCAACTCCACGAACAAGGTGTCCAATGGAAAGGACACGGAGGAGCCTGACCAGAAGGAGAAGGCTATAAAGGCCCAAGAGAATACCAGTCGCAAAGAGAAGTCCGTCCTGCAGGCCAAGCTTACTCGCCTTGCCATCCAGATTGGTTATGGAGGTACGAAAACCTCTTATATCAGAGCAAATTACAAGTCTTGAAAAAATATCAGAGCAAATTACAAGTCTTGAAAAAATAATATCAAGTTTTTGTGCAGTGTACTGTATATATACATGTTTGTGTGTAATTATAAGTAAGTGAAACAACAAATTCAAGGAAACCGTCAGTTGATTCTTCAACTGAACAAAAGTACCACATTTTTCTCTAGACAAAGGGATTGTGTAACAGGACAGATTATTGGGATGCCCCTGACATATAGATAGTCGTAACTACTCCTCATATCTGAGTTGGTGTTCCTAAATGAAAAAGTACAAGCAAAACAAATATTTCATGACCATGAATACCTGAGAAGTAGGTCAAACTGAAGAAAATATGGCATACTGCTTTCCTTCAAGATGATCTTAGATTTTTCATGTCGCTAAATACCAAAATGTAGGTCATAGCAGCCGTGTTACAGTTCTCTGCAATACCCTTGCCTACGATGGCTTCATATACTTGGTTAAGAATCTCAACATAAGATGGTACATAAGATATAATTTGGACGAGCAAAAGCTTTCATGACTGCTAATACCTGAAATAGTAGGTCATATTGACCTACTTACAGTACAGTGCACTTTGTCCTCCCCAAGGTGTTCTACAATAGCCATATTGGAATAGTACACAAGATTGCTCAAACAGGCAAAAGCTAATGGACAGACTTCCTCATACATATCATAATAATATGATGGGTATATAATAAAAACCGCTTGTCTATCATATCAGTTACATACATAATTACTAGGCTCCGATATAACCTGAGGAAATGTTAGTGACCTGGAGCTATTTATTGACTTTCCATGTGCAATGTTTTAACTTGATCAAGTGACCATGTGTAACCTAAATGACCTTATCACTGTCAAACAATTAGCTGTTACTACAAATAAACATTGCCTTTGGCAAAAGTCAAACTTCTTGCTTTCAATTACAGCTTAGATATCTCAAAGTTTGCTGTAGTTATTATGAACAGTCTTGTATTAGTGATGTAGGTTATATTGGTGTAAACTGTTTTGTACAAGGTGAGTGTACCCGATATATTATATCAAATTTTAGTGTTGTACTTGCATTTGTGTTTTTGCACCTCCACTATGGTCAGGTGTATATACAGTGTACCTACATGTAGTCGCACTGTATTTAGGTATATTGTACTATCTTCTGAACATACTGTAATAGGATATTTCTGAATATTGTATGGACCAGCATACATTTCAACTAATAGGATGGAATAATTAATAGACAAACAGTTCCACTCCACTTTGATATGTTGTAATGTTGTATGAACCCGTATGTATTTAGACTGTACTAGAATATAAAGGAATAATGTAGAGATAACCATACAGTGGTGCTATAATAGATATACATCTTATAGACCAGCATACCATTCCACTGTAGTGGTGCTATACTCTGATATATATCTTAAAGACCAGCATACGTACCATTCCACTGTAATTGAATATGTCTCATAATTTCTGTTCTGATCAGTATAATCAACGCATGTGCGTGTATATGGGAATATTTATAACAAGGGTGAAAAATTGTTGGAAAAAATCATTAATGAAGGCCGCTTGCATACTGATCGAGTTGAATATTTTCCTAAAAAATTGGATGATAACAGTACATTGTTTTTGTTACAGGTACTGTGATTGTCATGGTAACAGTAACTTGTTTTTGTTACAGGTACTGCTATTACTATATGGTAACAGTATATTGTTTTTTGTTACAGGTACTGCTATTGCCGTGGTGACAGTACTTGTGCTCATCATCAAATTTTGTATCACTGAATTTGTCACCAAGGAACACGTGTGGACAAGTGACAAGACAGCGGATTACATAGAGCAGTTTGTCAGTTACTTTATTATCGGTGTAACAGTCCTGGTAGTGGCTGTACCGGAAGGTTTGCCCCTAGCCGTCACGCTGGCACTCGCCTACTCCGTCAGAGTAAGTGTTTCCATTCATTCGAGCCCTCACCTTCTCTTTCAAGTTAAGTGATTCAATTCAAATGTTTTTATTGTAGAAAATCAGTCATTCAAATGTTTGTATGAGACAGCCGATCAGTCACATAAATGTTTGATATTGCAGAAAATGAGGCACGACAATAACTTGGTACGGCATTTGGATGCCTGTGAAACCATGAGTAATGCCACTGCCATTTGTTCTGAGAAAACCGGCACCCTTACTACAAATAGGATGACCGTGGTCCAGAGCTACATCGGAGGTCAGTACACCACAGTATAGATAACTGATGGTCAAGTTCTTCAGCGAGGTTGAAATGTCCTTAAAGTAAACATGCTCTGATATTTGAATTATAGTGCAAAAAAAATTAAGACCTGTACAAGCCTAATTGAGAGAAGATCAGGGAAACTTTAAAGTGTGAAATGACAAACATTAATATCTGTATTTGCTCTGTGTCCTCCCATTGCAACTTATTGACGATGTAAAAGCCTGGTGTGAAAATGTAACACCAATTTGTCAGGTGACCATTGTGATGTCACTGACATTACTGTTCCTAGAACTTCGCCATTAACATTATGATCATGAAATAACAAAATACAAATAACTTCATATTAAAGTGTGAATATAAGTGATAAATGTTTTATCAAATGCTGGTGTGGTCCTAAAACCGAACAGCTACAGTTGACAAACTAACATAATGCCCTACATGGCCGTATTAAGTTTGTCAGTCAGCAAAAGCAATATGGGTGATAGGGTCATAATACCATTTGCTAAAACATTCATTGCATAAGAACTTGTAAATAAACTGTTAATTTGATCACTTTCATGAAGATCTTAACTATGCAAATTGTTGTCAGAATGGGAACATAAGCTATATTATATATATAATACAATATAGGGTTATTCATATTTTAGGAGGAAAACAATTAAGGCTGTATAAGAAAATCTAAGAAAATTTGTGCTTGCTGATACTTGACATTTTACAACCCGAAGTGTCCAAGTAGATTAGTCTGAATTCCATAAACATTTAGTAAAATTCAATATTTGATTTAGACTGAAGGTGTTCTGTTAACTCATCAGCAGTACAATTTGAAGGTCACAGAAAGGGTACACTGCCCTATGGTTCACTCCAGTGTCAGATTTAGACTGAAGGTGTTCTGTTTACTCATCAGCAGTACAATTTGAAGGTCACAGAAAGGGTACACTGCAATATGGTTCACTCCAGTGTCAGATTTAGCACCAACATGCTGATCGCTCATTCAATAAACAAAGCAAGGCTGCCACTGAGGTTTCTTGAGGTGTTGGTATTGGGTGTGTAAGGTTATGTTCAGTATTGGTATCAGGGAAGCTATCTGTAGGCGACACCCTCTCAGGTCTTGGGACAACAACAGTGCAAATACATCCCCAGCGTCATAGCTTGTATAATGTGTGCAGCATAATGTGATTGATTGAGGTAAAGCAAAGCTCTTACCGTGCACACTTAGCGACTAATTATAGCTACGAAACACAAGCCAGTGTTAATGAGAGCCTCTGCAACCCTATTGATCTGCCACAGTGATTGGCAGCTTTCCTGCCAACATTTGTCACATAATGTGAGGCAACATTTTATACAGCAAAGTAAAACATTACACACAATCATGGAACGATTGACCCCATGAAAAATAAGGTAATACATTAGTTCTTCATCCCTACAGTACACATCTTTATACATTAGTTCAACAATATACATTCTTATACATCAATTCTACACAATAATGTTTGAACATGTCACTATCCATCTACACATGTTTAGACTAGAATCTGCATAGTTAGAACTTTCAGCATAAATGGTACTCATTAAACAGCTGTGTAGACTATACCATTCAGGGTAAATGATACACCTTTATACAGCAGTATAAGCTATAACATGCAGGGTAAATGGTACCCCTTTATACAGCTGTGTAGACTATAACATTCAGGCTACATGGTACCCCTTTATACAGCTGTGTAGACTATAACATTCAGGGTAAATGGGACCCCTTTATACAGCTGTGTAGACTATAATATTCAGGGTAAATGGTACCCCTTTATACAGCTGTGTAGACTATAACATTCAGGGTAAATGGGATCCCTTTATTAAGCTGTGCAGACTATACCATTCAGGGTAAATGATACACCTTTATACAGCAGTATAAGCTATAACATGCAGGGTAAATGGGACCCCGTTATACAGCTGTGTAGACTATAATATTCAGGGTAAATGGTACCCCTTTATTAAGCTGTGCAGACTATAACATTCTTGGGTAAATGGTACCCCAATTCTAGCATTGCCCAACCACGTACTCATTTACAGCTGAGTAGACTGGAAGAAGCAGAGTAAAGTATCTTGCTCAAAGATAGAACACAGTGCCGTGACGTGACTTGAACCTGCAATGAGCCTGGCGTCCTACCACTAGACTATCGTGCCTCCTATAATATGGATATTCATGTCTGCCTGTTTACATAACCGTTGGCATTTTGTGTGAAACCTTACAAGGAAAGCCTAAAGTGTTAGGTGTAAAACATAAATCTTAAAATTTGTTTAATAGTGCAGGAATCCATTAAATGACATATAAATTAATAGAATGTGTAAACTTGAGCTCCCTTTGATGCAAACCCTCCCTGTATCATGAACGTCTTGCATCTTGTAGGTTTCAGCAACATTTTTGTCTCTATTTGACAAGATAACATTTGAATATTGAAAGCAGACCTCTATTCAACATAAACATTTTATAAGTGTCATCCGTGTATGGTAAACATTGGTATTGCATCTGATAGCAGTCATTGAAATTTTTCCCAATGCCTGTTTTACAAAAGATTGTTTGAATATTGAAAGCTTGCTGTCAAATCATGCGAAATCTCATTATCTCAAGCACAAGCGAATGCCCTCCATAGCTGTATTGCGTAACAAAATGTCAGATGTGTTTTCTTTGATGGACTACTAGGAAGTGTTGGGCGCAATCTTGGATCGAAACGCAATGTCACGTAATGCTAGGCGACAGTTTGTTCTGATGCCATTCCCCTGTGTCAGAGTGAATCTGGTGACAGAGTATTGTGGGCTGAAGCAGGAGCCAGCCATTGGTTAATTGATATCACCTCTATTCACATCAAGTCTGGTCGCAGATACATGATACGGCTAATGTATATTGACAGGCACACTGGGTTCGCCAGAGATCCAACCCAGGTGCTTGTTGCACAGTTGCAGCTAAAGTGCTGAATGAAACATTGCTAAAATTGTAGAGGATGACATGCCATTTGACAATTATCAAAGCACTATGAATTGGACAATAGATGATGTCACTGATTAATTCATCCGTAAATGAGATACAGATGAATTTATCAATGGATGATGTCACAGCAAATTCATCTGTGAATAATTTCATAGATGAATTTATCCATAAATTATTTCATAGATGAATTTGTCTGTAAATCATTTCACCGATGAATTTGTCAATAATCCTAACATGAAAGTATTAACAGTTAAGTTATCATCATAGCAGGTTTTTTCACTCTATAACAGGGTTCGAATTTAACCAGATTTTCTACTTGCATTTTTCGCAAGTGGTATTTTTTCTTACTTGCTAAATGAGAAAATAACTTGCAATTTGCATTTTTCCAACTTTATTAGACATGTTAACTTAGAATTAAATTCTAAAACAACACAGTATTAACTGACATTTTAAATTATGGTCATTGGGATGTATACATGATGCAAACCTTGCTGTGAAAGGATGCTGGCCTGCTCAGGCTATTCTAAGATATAGCATAGAAACTGCATCTTAGTTTCTTGCTTCATATGGTAGAGTATTTGGTCTTTTCTGTCTTTGTCCCGACAACCACCATCTTGTCACAGCAGGTTTTGGGTCATACTCTCTAAGGGCAACATCAGCAACTTGTCAATTTGTTATTTTGCCGGTGCAGCGAGGTGTGAAATTTAACCTTGGGAAACCCCAATACAACCACGTGACTAGTCAAGCCTATCGTATTTGCGCTATAAATAGTAACTAAAAATAGATTACCGAAAAACATCATGCATGCGGTAAACGTCATCATTATTTGTGCAGGTACTTCCTAACGGACATGCGCACGGGACATGTATCGATTGTAAACTTCCGTTAATGACAAAAGCTGAATCATTCATTCGGCGAATGACAAGAATGCGCTTAAATGACCGCGAGTTGTCAAAGAAAGGATTTGTAAAGACCGACCATTAGAAATGAGGATGATTCAGCCCAAAATTTTCACTCGCAAAAAAATGCTGGTGTCTGAAATCTCTACTCGCAGTTTGCGATTTGCACTCGCTTTTCGCGAGTATGCGAGCTTAAATTCGAACCCTGTATAAAACACTTTGTTACTAAAGAGACCCATTTTCACTGTATTTTATGTTCAATTACAGATATTTGATACAGCAGACAACCAAATCAAGTAAAGGACATTTTCTTTGTTACAGGTGTTCACTACAAACAAGTTCCAAACTATGCCACCTTTGCGGACATTTACAAGGATGTCATCGTCCCTGGAATTGCAATAAATAGCGGCTACACATCGCGCGTTATGCCATCCAAGGACGGTGGCTTACCTGACCAGATCGGCAACAAGACAGAGTGTGCCTTGCTTGGTTTCGCTCTGGACATGAAGCAGAGCTACGAAGATATCAGGAATGAAATGCCAGAAGGTTCTCTTAGTAAAGTCTATACATTCAACTCTGTCCGCAAGTCCATGAGTACAGTCGTACCGAAAGCTGGAGGTGCAGGTTACAGACTGTTTACCAAAGGAGCGTCGGAAATTGTACTGAAGAAGTAAGAATATACAACCTTTTCTGTCTTCTTTCAAAGTTTAAAGATTTTACCATGATAGACAATAAGGAAGAAGTTTGGTAACTGACAGATATTGACTTTGTTTACAGGTGTGATTTCATCCTCGACTGCAAGGGCATCCCGCGCGAGTTCAGCTTAGAGGAACAGGAGAGTCTCGTCAGCAGTGTCATTGAGCCAATGGCCTGTGATGGACTTCGAACCATCTGTATGGCCTACAAAGATTTTGTCATGGGTCAGTAGTTTGTATAGGGATAATAAGTACAACAAAATAAGAAAACTACAAGGGAAGTGAGCCCTGTAAAATGTACTGTAATGCGGAAAACTAAGGCCAACCAACAAATGAAAAACGTGGTGACTAAATAAAATGGGAAGGTAGGAAGAGAAAATGTTATTTTCAAAAATGTACCTGTAAAGGCTATCCATCTGACTTGACATAAAATCAAATAAGGTGGTATAAATATTGTGTAAGGTTACTGGAAACATAGCATGCTCACCTGTGTAAAGTTCTATCATATAAAGTGTGGACTAGATGTATAAATTTAGATTTGTTAAAATAAGAAAACCTCACTGAAATTCACCACTCGAAAAGGTTTGTATGGGTATACAGATCTGTAAATCTTCTCAAAATCAGTCAATACCCAAGAAGACTACATATTCCTTGATCACATTGACTTATGTGTATGTAGATTCAGCTTTGTTCAAATTTGTACTCTTTTTCAGCATTTGTACTTACAAATAATATGATAGAGGTTTCTCCATGTTGTACTCATAATCATAAACACATTATCATCCGGTAAAAGGGTGTCAAATTTGTCCTCTAAGTGATGGTTCTGATGACAGTTTCTTTTACTGTATTTCTGTGTCTCTTTATTACCACAGTTAATATGAACATTTTGTTTTAATTTTGTCCTTAAACGTTGACAATATGGTGTGTTTCTGCAGGAGGTGAGGCTGCTGATAATGAGGTAGCTATAGAGAAGACCCCAGATTGGGAGGACGAGGATGCAGTCGTGTCCGGACTTACCTGTATACTCATTGTTGGCATTGAGGACCCTGTCAGACCTGAGGTAAGCTTTACGTATCTCTCACCTATCAAATTACTTACACTCTGGGGCTTGAAAAGGTAGAACAGGTATTATGGTTCTACTTTCTGATCAGAGTTAGGTTATTATAAATAAAGGGGTCAGAGAGACACCATTGAATGTCTTATACACGGGTAAGAGTTCACTCCACTGTTATAATTCTGATTGCTTGCACACTGACAGTACATTTTGAAGACATTTATTTTATATTGCTGTTTAAAATATAATGACAGAATCTTTGAGTGTGTAAGAAGATATGTGTCATTAAGTTTTTATTAAAGAATACCAAAATAGAACTTTAACTTTAACCTTTGACCCTGACAGGTGCCGATGGCCATCAAGAAGTGTCAGCGATCTGGTATCACCGTAAGAATGGTGACAGGAGACAACGTGAACACGGCACGCTCCATTGCCACAAAGTGTGGTATCCTGAAGCCTGGCGAGGAATTCCTTGTCATGGAAGGCAAGGAGTTCAACAAGCGTATCAGGGACAATACTGGAGAGGTCAGTACTCTAGGCCGGTACCATGTACCAGCATCAGGGAAATAATTAATATTACATTAATTCAAAATCTTCATTTAGTATTATTAGCTCACATGGCGTCCGTCCGTCCGTCCGTCCATCCATCCGTCTGTTCGTCGTCTGTACATCAACAATTTCTTCAAAAGACTTCTTCTTCTTAACCACTGATTGGAATTGTATATATAGTTTTGGGATGGGGATCTTAACCGTTTCAAAGTTACAACCCAGGGGTTAAGTCTCCAAGAGTGGGGCAGACCCTGGGGTCAATTTTTATATCATTGACCCCAGGGTCTGATGCTCAGGGGGCTGAGGGGCGGGGCCAAAAGTGGTCAATTTGGCTATATGGCTTTAAACGACTTCTCCTCTGGAACTTAGAAATGGATATAAACCATATTTGACAGATGCGTCCCTAGTTAGTGGGGATTCAAAAATGTACAAATGGTAGGGCTGACCCCCTAGGGGGCTGAGGGGCGTGGCCAAAAGGAGGCAATTTGGCTATATTGCTATAAATGACTTCTTCTGTAGAACTAAGAGATGGATATCAACCATATTTGGTTGGAAGCATTCATGGGAGGCAGGGATTCAATTGTACAAGTAGTGTTGCTGACCCCCTTGGCTAAAGGGTGGGGCAAAAATAGTTTATCGCTTGGAAATGGTTGAGATCCCCACCCTATTACCATATATACAATTGGCAATTATGAAGAGAAGAATGCACATATGCTTCCAGGATTTCTCACGGGTCTGGCCCCACCATTGGAGACATAGTCCCATGGTCATAACTTTGAAACGGTTGAGATCCCCACCCCAAAACTGCATATACAAATTGCTGGGCATAAATTGACGAATGCAGTCATGATATAAGAATTGACCCCAGGGCCTGCCCCACTCTTGGAGACTTAACCCCTGGGTCATAACTTTGAAACGGTTAAGATCCCCACCCCAAAACTATCTATACATATATATTATTATTGATCCTGGGGTCTGGCCACAACCCTACGGACATAGTTTCTGAATCACACCTTGGAAACAGTTGAGATACCGACCCCATAACCATACATAAAATTGCTGGACATGAAAAATCTAATACAGATATGCTACAAGGATTGGCCACAGTGTCTTGCCCATTCCCGTGGATCTATTTGGAGAATATTTTGCCATGATTACTTTTGATATCCAGGTGAGCGATACAGGCCCAGAGCTGTTTTGAGAATTAAACATTCTTGCTCGTACACGTTTGCATTGATATTTATATCATAAGTATGTACAATAAGTCTTTAAAATTCAGAGTTTCTTGTAATGTTTTTAGCTCTTTATGGTATGGGGATATTGTCAACATTAACTCATTCACCCCTGAAGACACATTTGAACCCTTCCAATTCAAAGGTTGGAATAGTTCATTATGAAATCCCAGGGGTGAATGAGTTAACACTAAATACTGTGTACAATTGTCCCGAAATACGGCCAATGAAATACTGGTAATAAATCTATATTCATGAAAGGGAAATCAAAGAATGAATTCAAAACTGGATTCTGTTGTGTAGGTTGAAATGTTTGCAAGTTAGAAATGAAATGTTTGTAGTTTGTTTCTCTCCCTTTTCATGGACTTTTAAATTCTTAAGGCTATGTAACATTACCCTGTGTGGGCTCACGATGGAAGTACCCAATTCCCCAATCAATTTGTCTTCATGCTAAGCATAACTGAGATGTTCAAAAATGATTGTTATTCACAATAAAACAGTGATATATGTAGATTGAGATTAAAAGCTGAACATTTATGTTACAAGGTGAGTCAAGAACTACTGGATAAGGTGTGGCCGAAATTGAGGGTGCTTGCCCGGTCATCCCCTACGGACAAGTATATACTGGTCAAGGGAATCATCGACAGTAAGCTCTCGGCTAACAGAGAGGTGGTGGCAGTCACAGGTGACGGCACCAACGACGGTCCTGCTCTCAAAAAGGCTGATGTTGGCTTTGCTATGGTAGGTTTATTGGTTGGTTCCATCACTGTATGAAACAATTTCAGAATATTTTTAACGCTTTCACCACTGTAGGCCATAATGGACTCGTCTATATCAATGCACAGTAGAGTCTACTTAAGTTACATAGATGTGAAAGGGTTAAAGGTCTCATATTCTCATGACAAAATGTCTGTTGTCTTACATAGTCCTTCTGGTTAATATGAACTTTTAACCACACCTTTATAACAAATTCAGGTATTTGTCTCCTGGCACTTACTTTCAATACACAACTTTTTTCGACCAGCTACTTTTTTAATATCACAAGTTTCCACTGTATGATGAACTACAAAGTTTTTGTACAGGTATAGATAAATTTGACACTTGTTTTTCAAAAACTGTATTGCTCTCATACTTGTATAGGGTCTGTCGGGTACGGATGTGGCAAAGGAAGCGTCGGACATCATCCTGACCGATGACAATTTCACGAGTATCGTCAAGGCTGTGATGTGGGGCCGAAACGTGTATGACAGCATTGCCAAGTTCCTCCAATTCCAGCTCACTGTCAATGTTGTTGCTGTCCTTGTGGCATTTTTTGGTGCCTGCATCATCAATGTAAGCTCCATCACACAATTTTACAACATTTATTTAACATAAAATTGTCGGTATCTTTATCAGTGAATTTTGAAAATTAAGCCAAATATGATGTTTGTGTATGGAAACAGTTTTCTTACTTGCCATTCAGCCATACCATCAATTTTTGCCAAGTGTTCATTTCGCTTTCACATTTAATAACTATGTATATCATGTTATCTTTTAATATTCATTGTAATAATAAATTTGCCCTCCCTACGGTGGGCAAATACAGCAAAAGTGAAACTGTTTCAAACAATTTTGAATACTGTAATAATGATGTGTTATTGTCTACTCTCACAGGACAGTCCCCTGAAGGCCATCCAGATGTTGTGGGTAAACTTGATCATGGATACGCTGGCTTCCCTAGCTCTCGCCACCGAGCTGCCCAGCGAGGAACTGCTCAACAGGCGTCCCTACGGTCGCACAAAAGCCCTCATCTCTAGAACCATGACAAAAAATATTGTTGGTCACGCTGTCTACCAACTAATAGTTATTTTTACTATCCTCTTTGCAGGTACGTACATGGTTTACATTACATGCTGTTCCATTGAATTTGATTTCTGAATTTTAAATCAGAAACAAAATTTTCAATACCTTTTCAAAAGGCATGCATCATTTTACTGTAATCGATGTGTTGTCTGTTGATAAAATAATGAAGTTTCCTTTAAATTGAATATGAAAAATATTGTTATATGCTATCAAAAGTAGTCAAAAATTTAATCGGACTTTATTCTTTTGATGTGCTAAGTTTCTGTTTTTCTGAAAAGTTGGGTTTTTTCCCAAATAATTTTAGTTGTTCTAGGTCTAGCATCAATTAGTCCAACTGTTTTTATTGAGAAATGCATAAAAAAAAAATATTTTGAATTTCATATCCATAATAGGAGCCTACAGAAAGAACATCAAATGTGGTATGGACGGTCCAATTCTATTTTAACAATGTTTCATAAAGTTCATGTATTAAAAAAGACTAATGAGTACTTACTTGTTTCTCTTGTGATTCAGGAGCGGATTTATTTGCTATTGACGATGGTCGGGGAGGCTCCCTACACGCACCCCCCACCGAGCATTTTACAATTATTTTCAACACATTTGTAATGATGACTCTTTGTAATGAAATAAATGCTCGCAAAATTCATGGCCAGCGTAACATTATAGAGGGTTTAAGGCGGAACCCAGTATTCGTTGGCATCTGGATTGGAACTTTTGTATCTCAGGTAAGGGGAAACCACTCTTATTTTCTTTTCTCCTATGTATGCATGTAAAATCACAGGGCTAACACTTCACAATTAAGATATGAAAATATATTCACAAAACTCAATTATCATATCCTTATTGGTTTCTGTCATTTCAAACCTAAACAGGACTCTTTTTCAGTTTCCAGTTGACCTAAAATTGCCTAAAATACATAAAAAAAATATATAAGAAATTAGTTCAATTTTCCCACACAGTCACAAATTCTATAGACTGGTTTCAAAGCTGATTTGGTGTTTTGTATGTTATTGAAAGATATTTACTCAAAGTTTGTTCTTATTGTAGGAGAACACATATTGATTTGATCATCTTTTCCCTCTTCATTGCAGATAATAATAACTCAGTTTGGAGGGTATGCATTTAAAACCAAAGGTCTTAAATTAGACCAGTGGCTTTGGTGTGTGTTCTTGGGAATTGGAGTTCTACTATGGGGGCAGGTAAGTGACGAGATAATTGGAATCCTGGACCCTAATGTGAAGCATTTGTTGGCATTTTCATTGGCAGTTTATATGAACCGTTTAATTGATTGAAACTTTTTTGGTCTACTGGTTCTTTAAAACTTGAAAACTGAATTTCTAATTTTTGCTGTACTAATATTCAAACCTTTGATCATTTTATTGCAATTAAGAAGAAAAGACATTCTGATCAGAATTATCGATGAAAATGTTGAATAACAAGTATAATTAATCTGGTCTTCATTTCAAACATCAATCTATTTTACATGTCAAATTCACTTAGAAAAATTGGTCAGTAATTTTAAGTCAATCCTATGTTTTTTTAATGAGACATGGTTTCAATTTCCATCTCATTTAGTTGAGGTATTGAGAAAAGGCTTATACCAGTGTTGTAGTGTGATATGTGTCTTTATTTCCTTACAGATAATAACCTCTATTCCGACTCACAAACTGCCCAAACACCTGTTCAGCTGGGGCTCCCACCCCCCAACTCAGGACCACCGCGACTACTCAGATGGTCCCGATAGTAATGCTCAGGAGATGGACGTTGGTGGACGTCGCGGCCAGATCCTGTGGGTCCGTGGACTCACTCGGCTACAACAACAGGTAAGTGTAGCTGCTTTTGGTCGTTGTCTTAGGCTAAACAATTATACACCAGAGACACACTTGCTGCATACCCCTTGTTTGTCTTGTATTTTAACACAAATTGAAACTAATTTCACTCATTTTGTGTTTGATGACTTCAACACTACCAAGACACCTCAAATTTCAGTCATATAGCGGTAGTGTTAAGTACAAAAATGCCCTAAAAGTTTAATAAAATGAATTGAGTGTTTGATAGGAAAAGAAAAAATAGATTTATTTATTATATGCATTAATTTATCTAAGGTAAAAACAGAAGTTTTAAAAAGCATTAAAACGTTTATGGCTACTTATCATGCAGTGACTCTTGTCTCTTAACATTAACAAAACAAATAATATATTGAAGTGTAATTTTCCATTACCGTGCATCCGAGTTATTCTAATGTGATTATTTCAACAATACTAATTTTAATGGAATGGTTTGCTTCATTTTCTTCTAACTAGAATTTTGAACTTGTATCTTTAAAAATGTAGATAGAAATGATTTTGATTTCTTGAATAGAACTTTTCTGTTTCTATAACATTTTTGCATTTAGAGTAGTATACAAAATGCTCTATGCATCCATTATTAAGTTTTTGTTCCTTTTGGGGTGAGATGATGAATTTGCTGTATATATATATGTATGTGTATACTCAGAATACATATGTACCTGAATTTTGTATACTAACCCATTTATTTGTAGGACGTTTTAGTGTTTTGTGACTATTATTTGACTGGATATATTAGTAGTGTTTCCTGCTACCCCTTAGGTGGTAGTTTAGTTTCTTGGTACTCGAGACTTCCTGATGGTTTACTTTGGTCAATTGTAATCCTATTCTGTAACTGTACCTCATAAATGACTTCCTTCCCTTCCATTCCTTGTCTTATTTTTTCATTTTCCTTTTTTATTTCCACGCTATGTGTGTTTTGTTGGCCTTAGTGTATTCCCCCATCCTGAGCTGCCCAACTCAACGCTACTGTGGTTCTGTGACGCTGTTGTATGTGTATACCCAAGCTGACAACCGCCGTCAATTGTATTGTGGGCTGCGGTATCACATGTATGATCACACGCCCCCGCCCTCTTGTGTCCAGTGTAGTGTAGCCTGATTGTAGCTGCGGTAATCTGTCATGTTGTTAGGGACATGTGTCTGCGGGCTCATGTATGTCTGTCCCAGCACGGCTGATCAGTACATGTGGTCTGCATTATCATCTTGCCTCTTGTTTGCTAGACGAGCAAATAGCAAACAAAAAATGGATCGTCGTCATGTTTCTTCAGTTTCTTCATTTTTTCTCGTCCTTATTTTCTGAAAGCCAAATTTTAATCTCTTTCTTCCTTTGACAGCTGCGAGTAGTGAGAGCATTTAAAAGCACACTGGAAGACCTTGAAGAAAAACGTAGCATACACAGTTTCCACAGTTTGCACAGCTTGCGTAGTTCGCGAAGTCATCAGGGCCCGCGCCCGATTTGTGAGGAAGCGATCAACAACTATGAGAGATCATTTCGAATCAAAACCAAATCATCTGACATACCCTCCCCACGATCCCCAATCTCTCCCTTGGATCCTACCTTTAAAACTAAAAGTCATTCCTTTGAAAATGTACCCCTTGTTTCCAAGCAGCCATCTCCTCTCCTTGGTCCTACAAACCCCACTCATAAACAATCGCCCCCAAAGACATTCAGTCATTCCGATGTTAAAAGTATTACAGAAACATCTATATAACTATTATTTGGTAGTGTTTCTTTACTTATTCTATTCCCGCCTTACAAGGAATCAGACCTACATTCTATCATTAGGCAGGGAATTTTGGTTGATATACAGAAAGTTGTTGTTTACCCTGTTATTTCTATTTATTAGTGTGAAAGAATTTGTCTGTAGTGAACTTGATTTAGAATTTCTGAGATTCTTTATATGAATTTCTAAAACCATAAGAAGACATATCGGTATAGAGAAAAAATGGAAAATCAATGAATAGATACAGATACCCATATGTAGAGTTATCTGCCCTTCTGATGTAGAAAGCAAATTATCTCCCCTTCCTTCTAGTGAACTGTAATGGTATTAGAATGACAGTTAGGTGCCTAGTTGAGGCCATTTAGACCCTTTGTAAATAAACACAAAGTAATTGATTAGATAATGATAGTTGAAACAAAGCCTCTTGTTGTTTAAGATATTTGAATGCTCCAGAGTTCCTCCCCCTTGGCGCACTGTCCTGTCCCAAACACACCTATAATCTAATGCCAGTGTACATTTAACATCTGAGTGTGGAGGATCTATAAACTTGTTATTTACACTCCTATGCTAGATCAGGACTTGTGTGGCGTGGAGAGAATTTTTCCATTATAATACAGCCTGTTATGACAGGCAGATAAATAACTCCTGTGTTAGATCAGGACTTGTGTGGCGTGGAGAGAATTTTTCCATTATAATACAGCCTGTTATGACAGGCAGATAAATAACTCCTGTTGTGTTTAAATAAGTTAATATACAGTGTGTGTACACTGTTTATAAGTAGGAGGATTTTTTTTATATACGATGGAAATTTATTGTATGATCTATTGTCATTGTTAATCAATCTTCTTGTAAATATGTATATACGTTTTTGTAAGAGAAGAATGATCCCCTAGGAATAATTGATCTTTTTTTTCATTGTTTTTCATCATTTCCATATTACACAAACCTTGTGCTATATCACTTTTTTTCATATTGGAAACTTGGGCTATTTCTGTTACCTGAAGGGAAGAAACCATTGTTTACAAGTTTTATCTAAATGCAAATGAACCATAAAATAGCAAAAATACATATGTAGTCAGGCTATTGGAGAATTAAACTGATAGGTCCAAATTAGGTATAGACTACAAATCCAGTATACAGTTGATTAATTGAATTTTTGGAATGCTTGTTTTCCTGTTCAGTGTAGGAAACATTATATTCAGTTGCAGCAAAAACTTCTTACAGAAGAATCTTGTCATATTCAGTTGACTTCTAGTGTTTCTACTGGAATCTTGTTTAATAGCTGGTCTTGTTCTAGAAAAGGATATGCTGTCTAATACTAATCAACTTATTCTGACCTTTCCACTCTGTAATACTGTCCCAATCTGTTTCACCTTAGCTCCCTCTTGAGCATGAGTTATTCTTGTGGTATACTGTGGAAGATGCCCGTCACTGGTGAATCTCAAGGCAGGATTATTCAATTTGCTAATTTGTAAACAGCGTTGTGTGTGACTGACTAGTCTGTAGACAGGGTTGTGTGTGACTGAATAGTCTGTAGACAGGGTTGTATATGACTTACTAGTCTGTAGACAGGGTTGTATATGACTTACTAGTCTGTAGACAGGGTTGTGTGTGACTTACTAGTCTGTAGACAGGGTTGTGTGTAACTGAATAGTCTGTATAGTGTTGTGTGTGACATACTAGTCTGTAGACAGGGTTGTGTGTGACTTACTAGTCTGTAGACAGGGTTGTATATGACTTACTAGATTGTAGACAGGGTTGTGTGTGACTGAATAGTCTGTAGACAGGGTTGTATATGACTTACTAGATTGTAGACAGGGTTGTGTGTGACTGAATAGTCTGTATAGTGTTGTGTGTGACTGAATAGTCTGTACAGGGTTGTGTGTGAGTGACTAGTCTGTAGACAGAGTTGTGTGTGACTTACTAGTCTGTAGACAGGGTTGTGTGACTGAATAGTCTGTATAGTGTTGTGTGTGACTGACTAGTCTGTACAGGGTTGTGTGTGAGTGACTAGTCTGTAGACAGGGTTGTGTGTGACTTTGTAGTCTGTAGACAGGGTTGTGTGTGACTGAATAGTCTGTATAGTGTTGTGTGTGACTTACTAGTCTGTACAGGGTTGTGTGTGAGTGACTAGTCTGTAGACAGGGTTGTGTGTGACTTACTAGTCTGTAGACAGGGTTGTGTGTGACTGACTAGTCTGTAGACAGGGTTGTGTGGGACTGATAACCCTGTCTACAGACTAGTAAGTCTGTGCAGGATTGTGTGGGGCTGACTAGTCTGTACAGGGGGTGTGTGACTTACTAGTCTGTACAGGGTTGTGTGGGACTAACTAGTCTGTAGACAGGGGTGTGTGGGACTTACTAGTCTGTACAGGGTTGTGTGGGACTGACTAGTCTGTACAGCGTTGTGTGGGACTTACTAGTCTGTAGATAGGGTTGTGTGGGACTTACTAGGCTGTAGACAGGGTTGTGTGGGACTGACTAGTCTGTAGACAGGGTTGTGTATGACTTACTAGTCTGTAGACAGGGTTGTGTGTGAGTGACTAGCCTGTAGACAGGGTTGTGTGTGACTTACTAGTCTGTAGACAGGGTTGTGTGACTGAATAGTCTGTATAGTGTTGTGTGTGACTTACTAGTCTGTACAGGGTTGTGTGGGACTTACTTGTCTATAGACAGAGTTGTGTGGGACTTACTAGTCTGTAGACAGGGTTGTGTGTGAGTGACTAGCCTGTAGACAGGGTTGTGTGTGACTTACTAGTCTGTAGACGGGGTTGTGTGGGACTGACTAGTCTGTAGACAGGGTTGTGTGTGACTTACTAGTCTGTAGACAGGTGTGTGTGGGACTTACTAGTCTGTACAGGGTTGTGTGGGACTAACTAGTCTGTAGACAGGGGTGTGTGGGACTTACTAGTCTGTAGACAGGGTTGTGTGTGAGTGACTAGCCTGTAGACAGGGTTGTGTGTGACTTACTAGTCTGTAGACGGGGTTGTGTGGGACTGACTAGTCTGTAGACAGGGTTGTGTGTGACTGATAACCCTGTCTACAGACTAGTAAGTCTGTGCAGGATTGTGTGGGGCTGACTAGTCTGTACAGGGTGTGTGTGACTTACTAGTCTGTACAGGGTTGTGTGGGACTTACTTGTCTATAGACAGGGTTGTGTGGGACTTACTAGTCTGTAGATAGGGTTGTGTGTGACTGAATAGTCTGTAAAGGGTTGTGTGGGACTGACTAGTCTGTACAGCGTTGTGTGGGA